TTTTTTTTTTTTTTTTTTTTTTTTTTTTTTTTTTTTTAATTGAATAAGATAATACATGCACGACTTCTATGGAGTCTTTACGTATGATGGGGGCCAATTGTACGCATAAAATGCGAACTTCAATTTTATCAAGAACGTGAAACGTTATGAAGAATTGGTTCTCTTTATAATTTTTTGCCTCAATATCGATTATTTTATGTTGGTTTTAATTAAATTTTTAAATAGCGAATATTCGATTAATTTATTAATTTATGAATAAATCTGTATAAATTATATCAAGTAGGGAAAAAAAAAAAGAAAAAAGCGAATGTTTTAATTAATATTTAAGTAAGAATACTTCGTCGCGAATAATTGTAAATGCGAAATTTATTTTTTTAATAATATCTTAATCGTTTTAATGAAAAAAATTAACTATTTAACTATTTATATTGTAAAGATGAGTGATTTATCTATTTTATATAGATAAAATTTATCATGATTCGTTCAACGTTTTTTGTTCGTATTGTGCAGCTGATAATTTTTTATTATTCTATCTATTCTAATTTTTTTTCTTTTTACTGTTTACAGACTTACCTTTTTTTACATCGTTAAGATCAAGAGATATGACAGTGACAACGATGATTCGTGAACTTACCAATTACAAATTTTTGACGAATGAATAATGTTCCAACTGTATGTTGCACTACCAATTCTAGAAGAATATCGAAGAGAGGACAAGCTTGGGCAGTAGCTATGGAAAAAATAGTCTAAAAGATGCAAGATTTCAAATCATATTATATTGATTCTTAGATAGTGTTTTAATTACATAGCCTAATGGCACGAATATGTTCGTCTTTTACGAGGATATTTTTTATTTTTAATCAGCATACATCTAATATAATACTTTATTCATGAGAAAAGATTGATAATATCGTAAAAAGTTATTCAAAATTAATGTATTTTCAAATAAAACCGAATAAATTAAATACACTTCGTGAAAGTCGAACACAATATCGTCGGGCAGCTCGAATAATCGAATAGTAGTAAGAAAGAAGTGAAAAAGAAAATAGCTGTTTATTACCAAGATACAAGATTCATACCTCTCAGAATTCATAGTAATTGGTACTGTCTCGTATAAGAAAAAAATTAAAATTTCTAATCATTGAATACAATATTTAATAACCACTTGCCTCTCTGCCAGACTGCCATTAGCGTATTAATTAAGGAAATGTAACTAGAGGAATCGAAGAACTCGTCCTCATTTTTCTTCGTTGTCCTCGGATTCCTACTCGTTCATTTTATGTTAGCATAAGATCAAAATATGTCTATAAGATGAAAGAAGAGACAGACCATTAAGAAACGCGTTTAATTCGCCAAAGTATATTAAGTGTAGCAATTGCCAAAGTTTTTTCTGTAAATACAAGAATGTCGAGTCGATTAGTTTACAGTAGTTGTGATTCAATCGTGCACGAATTATTAAATTATCAGCGCTGTCGTGCTTTCTTTCTTGGAAATTCATAATTGTTATCATTGTTATAATCGTACTATATTGTTATGTTTTTTTCATTTTGTATGTTTAATGTCTTGACCTGCCGAAAAATCGAGCGGTCCGACGATTATGTATTTTTAATTCTATAGCTACTTATATATTTTGTGTGCTAATAGCTGCATGCACACAAAGGGAAGGATCGACTAAAGAATAATTTCTACAAAACAAATATTTTTTTACATATTAAGACGACGTGAAATTCTTTTACGTACGATATATATGTATTTGACGACGATTAAATCGGTCGATGTTTCCCTGGTGTGGATGAGATTTTTGAGAATACGAGTTAAAAGTAAGAAGTTGCAAAAACGTATGTATGTAGGAATGTATGAATGAGACTGCGTCAAGAAATATAGAGTGTGAGACTGTAAAATAATTATAAATAAATATATACGTTATAAGTCTAATAACTATGATTTTGTCGCTTTTTATTATTTCATAATTACGGAAAAACTATTCCTAACAATGCTAAAAAATTTAATGTATCCACAAATATATGTTTTAATAATTTCATTCAATATCTTTACATGTCTACAAATATCATAAATTTTACTACAATTATAGGAACATAATGGGACTAGGAGATAAAAAAAAAAAAAAAAAAAAAAAACAAAATTTTCTAATAAAGACTCAACTTTGTGTAGCAAAAATTTTGTATCATTTGACTACGATATAATGAATACAATCTATACACGTATACAATGTTGCGCTTATATAACTTGATTATTAGTATTCGTGACTTAATAACAGCAACAATTGCAGTAAGATTCTCTTGACAAGATATTGGTTTTGCATTCAGAAAATAACATTTTTAAATCGAATTCTTACAAATTACCGTCCAAAATCGCATTTATATATATATATATATTTTTGTGAAACAACTTATATGAGACATTGATCAAGTAAATAAAAAGCTTCAAAATATAAAACAATTGCCGATTTATCGCTTAAGCGAAATTATATTATTGCACGCTTAATACAATTTTTTTCTACTTTCTAGTTACTTTAACTGTTTTTTTAAAGCTTTGAAGTACGTATTAAAATGCGAAATCGCATATAAGTTTGCTATAATTAATATGCTACATTAGGAAATGTTCAATATTTAGGAGACGATAATAGATCAATTATAAAAGATTAGTTCAACAATACAAGACAACTGATTTCCGATATATAAAATAAGTATACATTTCGGCGTGAATGTGATGTTAAAATTCGATGAAAAATTTCCGTTGCCAATAATGATTCGGATATAATGAATTCTAATATTTTTTTCCTTCTTTCTTTTTTATCTATTCTCTTATCGTTCCCTTTCTTTTTATAACTGTATTTGTTGCTGCTGATTTTAATAAACTTGTTACAAATGACGTCCGTGTTTAGAGGTTAACATTTTTCTCACAGAAAATATACTCATAGATAGGCCAACAGTTGCAAGGATATACGCTGATTTGGTCATATTACGTTCGACCATATTTCTACGAAATACAGACGAAACAGTTCCCTGTGATAAAAAATATATTAATTTTTTTTTCATATAAGATTAAAGTTCAAACAAATTAAATATATAATGTTTCAGACTTAAGAAAATATCACAGCATATGTTATTACATAATGTTTATCTTTTTACAACAGTTAAATATGTTTTTTTTACCTGTTGCAATGATAATCTGAGAGCATAGAGAGTGGCAGGAGTCAGATACATCTCTACACCAAGGCTTTGCTTCGTATTCTAAAAAAAAATATAAATTATTATCAATCAGATAATATATTTGTTATATAAGATATAATATATATATATATATAAGAGACAAATATTGAATTCACAAATGAAGGATATATAGAATTGGATTATATCCAAAAATGATGATTATCTTAAAAAATTTGAATAGTATATTTGTTCTAAACAATATATTTGTATATCAATATTTAAATTTTTATTAAAAAATGATAGCATTAATGTCTTGTTTATAAAATTGTACTTTATTATTTTTTTTAATTTTTTACTATTAATTTATTTTAATTTTTAAATTAAAAATACATGAAAAATAATGACATAAAATAAATGACATAAAATTAATGGTGAATACATAAAAAAATGACGAATGCATACCCTTGTTTAATTCAAAAATTAATGCGTATTAAAAGATAATGTATGAAATATTGTAATCTCCTTAATATAAAGATTTATGTGAATCCGTTTGTTTTTGCTCTTATTTGATTTGCAATGACATTTCATTGAGGTTACCAAAAAGTGCGACTGATGTCGCACATCATTAACACAGTGACTATTAAATATATAAACAAAAATCATTTTGTAAGTAAAGTTAGTATTACATCAAACAACGCACATCGTTAGATTAACTAGGCTTGGCGCCGTTTAAAATTATAAAATGTTATTCTATATTTTAGTATCTTTATATAATCATATGGGATATTTTCAGCCATTGATAGATAAGTATAATAAAATATATCTTTTTTCGATTCAATATTATTTACGTGTATCACATAAAATAAGAAAAAAAGATTATTTATTTATTTATAATAAATTATTTAAAATATAAACACTCAATTTTATTGTAACGTTTTTATTTTTAATTTTATAAATTTCTGTTAAAAATGTCCAAAGATTAAATTTTATAGTATATGAGAAGTATTTAAATATACGAATGATATACTACTAGTTCGAATATTATCAGCCATAACAGTTTTTCTTTAAAACCACGTTTGCGGCACACTTATCGTTCCATTTGTATATAAGGTTTTATATACGCCGATATGATATGTATAAGATATATGAAAATAATGAAACATATCTTACACTATGAAATTTATTGTTGAAATTTAATTTTTATTCGAACGAAGTTCAAATAAAGTAAATTTAATTAATTATTTTCATTATTAGCAGAGAAATACTATGTGCGACATGATTAACCTATAAAATTCACACGAAGAACACACTAGAACATTGTTAAGATAGACATAGACAAATAAATTTTTTTATTCTAACATCTTTTTAATCAACTTCTTTGATTAATTTTAAAAACTTGATACAATATTTTCATTTTAATCAAACACTTTTAACGGATGAAGTCCATTAGTTATATTAGATAAAAATTAATGAAATAGATAAAATAACTTTCTTGACTGTCCTCTTATGTAATCAACAATAATACTCCTATGCGTAATGAAAGAAAAATTTTAAAATTATAATTAATTTAAAGTAAAACTACATTCCGCATTAAGACACGTACCGTCGTGAGCGAAACTTGCCGATGAAAGAGACGATCACCGAAGGTACACGATCCTTCGTCTCAAGTTGTTTCCTCACCACTGTCGATTTTACATTTCTAATTTCTACATATTGATTCATTCGTGTTACGCCATCTTTCAACGCTTGAATATACTTCCTGTATCATTTCAACTTATGTCTGGAAATTCCTGCATTTCCAGAACATGGTATGTACTTATCATACGTGATATGACAAATAAAACTTTTTTTACCAGCTAAGAGATGTCACTCTATGTTATATTTTAACTTAATAAATTAAATATTTAAATATATCATAATAATATTTTTATAACGTGTGCGCAATAATTTATTAAAATGTTCATCTAAACACCGTATTATTTTATAATAAATTCTGATGCTTTAATTTCTTTGTTTAACGTTCACTTTCTGATTAAAATATAATCATCAGAGAAAATAGTTACCTAATGACGCACACTCCTTTTATCTGTGATATATTTCCGTGGAATACCATATACATCCTTTAAAGTGGTCAGCCACATTTCGCTTTGTTTAAAACTAAATTAATATTTAAAACAATGACCAACTGGACGATACTTTTTTTTTGTGTTCAACTTTTTCCATTTATATTTTGCGAATATAAGGATTCAGAAATCCTTTGTGCATCTCAACAATCTTGCAAAAATTGCTTGCAAATCCCGCGATGCGTTTGGTGTTCTACTCCGGTTCATAATCATCGTTATTACAATTGTTTATGAAAAATATTTCACTTTGTTATAAAATAATAACAGATTTGTTTTTTTCTTTTTTTTCTAGGTCTCTAATCAAAGCGTGAACAATCCACTGATTCGCTGTATCACCAGAGAAAAATTTTCAAACGAAGGTGATCATTGGTGTCGAACGTCGGACGTGATAATTGAGGCGAATAAGATGTTGATTCTCGAAAATCGTCCACTTTCCTTAACGAAAGGCAGGGATCCTGTTCAAATTCAACCTCAAAAAATTAATTTGAAACTCAGGCGTGGGAAGTATATCTATAATCGAGATTAAACGAAATTCGTATCTCTTCGATGATAATATAATTCTACTTTCACCGTTTATAGGCGAGGAATATCGATTGACTTTAAAATACAGTCAAGCAGAGGATTATCCGGTTGATTTGTATTATCTGATGGATTTATCAAAGTCCATGGAAGATTACAGGGATCAATTATCAGAATTGGGATTTCAACTGGCCGAAGCTATGCGAAACTTGACTTCAAATTTTCGCCTAGGATTTGGCAGTTTCGTGGATAAAGTTGTACTACCTATGACTAGTACGCAACCGGACAAGTATCTTGAAATTTAGTTTTCACGTCCCATCGATATCGCTACGATCTGATATGATCCGTCATATCATTTTCCCTTCCAGATTGAAATCACCGTGTAACTTGGATAAAACTAAGAAACCATGCGCACCACCATACGGATACAAGAATCAGATGCCTCTTACCGAAAACATTGCTCTTTTCAAAGTAATCCTGTCATCTGTTTTGCGTATTGCATTAATCTTTAATCCCTTGATTGATTAATTTTCAGACGCGCGTACAAGAAGCTCCGGTGTCTGGCAACTTGGATTCACCCGAGGGTGGGCTCGACGCGATGATGCAAGCGATGGTTTGCACCAAGGAAATTGGCTGGCGGCAGAATGCTCGGCATTTTATCGTTTTCTCAACAGACGCTAATTTTCACATCGCTGGAGACGGTAGAGTATGTAAACGTAATTGGAAGATTGGAAGATTGTTCCTTTTAATTGTATGATCAAAATAAAAAAAACACGATCGCGTTTCAGCTTGCGGGAATCATCGAACCCAATGATTGTCTCTGCCATTTGGACTCGGAAGGGTTCTACACGTACTCGCTTCTTCAAGATTATCCATCTATATCTCAGGTGTGTCAAATCTTTCTTTCTTCGAGAATCGAAATATTTAAATTAACGATTACATTTTACATTTGTGTTACGATTAAGATCAACAAAATGGCTCGCGAGAACAACATGAACATCATATTTGCTGTTACGAGCAATCGAAACGAGACGTATCAATTATTGAGCAGAAGTATCAGAGGCTCTTCTATCGGAACGATAGAAAGGAATTCTAAAAACGTAGTTGCTCTTGTCAGCGGAGAATACGAGGTATTCTCTCTCATTTCATCAATTTTCGAATCGCGATTATTATTTATTATACGTTATCGTAAACGAAAATATTAATTATTTGTTTCAGAAGCTGGTCAACACCATAATAATGACGGACGATGCGCCAAAAATGATCGATGTGAAATATTTCTCACGATGTTTGGATAAAAATGGTGAATTAAAAGAACGGCAAGAATGCGGAGGTTTACGAGCGGGGAATATCGTGGAATTTGAAGTAACGTTACAGGTAATTTGCATAAATCGGCATATTCGTCGTACACGTTCCGTTGCATAATAATATATCATATCGTTTTGTAAATTTATTATTTTTTGTCAATTTTTCGCAGGCGATCGAATGTCCAAGGGATTCCGACGAATGGCAGACGAGTATGCATATTAAACCCAGGGGTATAAACGAAAGTCTGACGATCGATCTGAGCGTTGCATGCGATTGTCCTTGCGAACGGCCAGGGCATCCGGTAAAAATTAAACGCGAATCTTCTCGTTAAAAATAATTACGTCTTCGTATATTTCTCTATTTAAATCGTTTTTCTTTTTCGCGCGTTTCGATTGAAAATGTAGGGATACACGCCAGCTTCGGAAAATTGCAGAGGAAACGGTACTCTGGTTTGCGGTGTATGTTCCTGCGATGATGGGTTTTATGGGAAGCAGTGCGAATGCGAGGGAAACGATGCCAGGGCCGAGAGCGCAGCTGCCATGGCTGATTGCAAGCCTAACAACGAGACCATTGAAATTTGTAGCGATCATGGTGTTTGCAAGTGCGGTGTATGCGAGTGCACGAAGCGTCCCAATCCGCAAGAAGTTTTCTACGGGAAATATTGCGAATGCGATAATTTCTCTTGCAAGCGCAAAGAGGGATTAGTAAGTGAATACTTTTTGCCTCGATTAAATGGCAGGAAGAAAAGGATGGGTTTTTCCACGACTCGAATAGTTATCGAGAGATATTTTAAAGTATTTAGAGAAGAATGACAGTTAAACGATTTCTCTGCACGTAGGTAAAATTGGTATTTACCCCTTGTTATCAGTTACGGGCGAAACGTGCAGTTCGTGGATCGTAAACTTTACTTCGGAATCGTTTATTCGTATGGCGAAATTGCTCGAGTAATTCCCTTTTAAGGAAACCTGCACGCACACCTCTCGAAAGTGGCGATAGATAAATTACACGTGTTTACGTGTATTATTCCATCCGACGTTGTTGTTTCTCGCGTTTAAGGTTTGCGGCGGGCGGGGGAAGTGTGAATGCGGTACTTGCAATTGCTTGCCGGGATGGGGTGGCGAGATGTGCGATTGCAAAGAAACGAATAGCACATGCATCTCGAGCAACGGCGAAACTGTGCAGATTTGTAGCGGACGTGGTGACTGCATTTGCGGTAGCTGTTACTGCCACGAGAAAGACAATGTTCGATATTCCGGCCAGTATTGCGAAGAATGTCCCGTAAGTCTTCTTTCAAGCTTGGCGCTTCATACACGCGTATATTTATCAAAGATATAAATGTCGTTTTTAGGTATGCCCTGATCAACGATGCGAGCAATTGAAGAATTGCGTCGAATGTGTGGTGCACAAGTCCGGTCCTCTTGCTAGAAGTGAAAAATGTGACGAATTGTGCATGCATCAAATAGATATTGTGAGACAATCTTCTCTAGAAATGTTCTTTAATGTAATTAAAGTAGTAATTTTTTTTTTTTATGCAATTTTCAATTGAACAGGTAGATAAGATCGTAGAAGATCCAAAAAAAGATCAAGAAAGCGGAGCTCGTATTTGTCGAACTGCTGGGGATGCCGGATGCATATTTGTGTTTAAATACGAATATCACAGAGACGGTACTGGGGGAGATATTAAGATATTCAAGATCCTAGCTGAGAGAGAGAAGTCATGTCCTGTACCTATCAACGCTCTTGGTAAGTGCGTAACAAATCAATGATACTACGTATCATATCGAGTGAATTAATTCGTATTGTAGGTGTTGCTGTGGGATTAATAATTAGTACTGTAATTATTGGTTTTTTGATTCTTCTTGCTTGGAAGATATTGACAATGATTCGCGATAATCGCGAATTCAAAAAATTCGAGCGTGAACAACGTATGGTTAGATGGACTAGGGTAAGCGTTATTTTTTTTTTTTTTTCATTTTAAATCTATAAATGTAGATATTATTATTTTAATTGTGCATTTGACATTTGTTAATTTAGAGGGATAATCCGCTTTATAAGGAAGCTACATCTACATTCAACAATCCGACATTCAACACGAATAGGATTAGATAAAATTATTTTCATAAAACGAATGTTGGCGCGCGAAATATTTCCATGGAAAGAATCTTATTTTATTAAATGGTAGACGCTCCGACAGGTAGCGCCACCATATTCAAATCGAGAGTGACGACGCCATGTTGGTTAATTGCTTTGTGAGAAGACGGTTTCTAGTCGAAGTGATAAAACATTTATTCTTTTCCTTTCGATCTTCTGGAAAACAACCTCTGTCAACCTTTACTCCTGCATTCCTATCTAGTAAGTGATAAATATTATTCATTACCTTTCCATTTTTTCCGCAAAACTCTTCCAAGTTTTATCAATCCTCTATTTTACGATTCTTATGTCTGAAACATTGTTGTTTCCCGTTGGTGGCAATTAATTTGCGCGCGTAAAATATAATATTTCGCGAGCTAGGTGCAGCCAGGAAGTGAAATAAATGCGATTAGAATAGATTGGGAAGACAAAGATCGATAAATGATCGTTCATAAATCAATTTTAAATTTGATCCGAGGATTTTGCGCGGAGATAGGTCCTGGCCTTTCCGACGATTGTTTCGAATATCCTCTGGCCTCGTACTTTATTGCTCGCTATGCTCGAAGAAGGCAGCCTTGTAAGGAGCTCGTAAATTCGTCACCATAGTCGGCTCCTGCTGCAAAACCCTGCGGCGACTCGGTGTATTTCCCACCAGAAACCTAAAGCTCTACCCACATTGAATCCGCCCATACGACTTGATTACTCGACCCTAATTATATCCTCAGTCTTCATTACAGCGGTGCTTGTTTTATAAAGATAAAGGCGTGTCAAGAAATTGACGACAAAATTTTCGATGTCTTTTTGCTTCGACATTACGCGTTCTTGACTGCGAATAATAGTTAAATAATTGTCATTCGTGCGAACAACGAGCAATTTTTTTATAATTTTTTCTGCCCCTTTTTTGTTTATATTTTTAACATTTTTTTCATATTAAAACATTTGATTTCACAACGCAATAATAATTGAATCGTATTTTTCAATAAATCTCGAATGATAATTCGAATATCACACCAATACTTCGTTTCGTGACTTGATAAAAACGTTTAATTCGAAATATTGGAAACGATAAAAATACCATTTCTTGTTTCAGAATTCTGAAACAAATTAACGTAAAATTTCACAAAATACATAGGATTTATCCGCGTAATCGGGCCTTAAGTCTAGCACAGAAAAACAGTCGAAGGAAGGAGAGAATAGCAGAGCCGGCGCTCCGCATACTAAATCATTGCCGCACGTCTGTTTCTTTACATTGTACAGATTTTATTGATTATTTTACGGCCGGGAACATTGTAAATCTCTTCATCCTGTATCGGCGTCTCACCTCGCTCTGCCGTAAGATGCTCCCACCGGGTGCCCATGGCGCCAATTATGCGAGTCGAACAGTATTGTTGTCGTATTCGTTCTGATCTGTCAGCCACGGCCTCACGTGTATCTCTTACGAACTAACGATTACTTTTCACGTCTACCATAGTTCTCCCCTCTATGGAATTTTAAGATGGAGTTAGTTGTACCATGGCAAAGGCCAGTGTACTCGTAACAATAATCGTGAATTAGGGGAGGTTAGGCATGTATCGCGATTAAATTTTTTAAAAATATACAAATAAATAAGTGCATTTCCCGTATTTACATCTTAATTCCACGATTTAAAGATTTCGGTTCATCGTTTTAAAATTTGGTTATAATATCAGTTCGCGTTGAATGATACCGTCCACATTTCTTGCCCGCGGAACAATGTTGTTCGTTTTCACGGTTGCTAATGGCCGCCGCCGGTGCCTTAATTACAGCCAAATACGACCCAATCAGCCCTCGGGGGCCGGCAATGTCGGCCTATTCCCGAGCTTTCAACTCGTTTGGCATATTGTCGGATTCAACCTTTTGATTGATTTTCATTTCTTCTCGATGCATCATCCATTCCTATCAGTTTCTGGAACAATAAAGAGCGATACACGATACACGAATGGATGACAATTGATGTTTCGAAATACACTCGAAATTTCAAAGAGACTCTCAAATAAATAAAGGAGGAAACGAGTGAGTTTATCTTTGCGTTCGAGTGAAAGAATACGAGTTATCTTTCGCTACGTTATTTTTTTTTTTCGCGAATAAGAACGTTGTTTATGATACGTCGAAGAATCGACTGTTCGCATCGTATTTAGATAGTTGGACGGTTGATGGGCATGGAATAAATTTAGGCGATACTGCCGATCGTGGTGCATCGTGCAGTCAGCCCTGTTGGACGATCGAGAGTTGGTGAACGGAGCTGCACCACCTCTTCGCGTTTGACGCAGGCCGAGGCTCGTTAGTGCGCGCCCGTAAATCAAGCCGCAGGGGTGCCAACCCGCTAATATTACCGGGGTTCCTTTAGGATAGGAGGAGCACGTTCGCACCGCCGACGCGCACAGTAAACGTTCGATATATCTCATCGATAATGAGTTTGTTAAATGGATTAATATTCCACTTTTTCTTTTCCCTCCTTTTCCCTGCCGTTTAAACGGATATTCCGGTCCAACTATACGAAACTTTTATTTCGGAATACATTTCGACGCTTTCTTTCGTTGTTAACAATTCGAAAACGGTTTTACGATCGAATATACGAAGGATCGAATATCGTTTGGATACATCGAATCCTGATATCAAGATCATTTTGAAGGGGAAAAAATTGAAAGAAGCAAGAATTTTAGCGTTCGATGATCCGATTTAATGGGAAAATGAGAATCGTCGAATTTTTTTCGCCGTTTAATATCCTGTTGTAAAGTATTTTTTTCCAACTCGTTGGCAACGTATTGCCATGTTTCGATCTTACGATTAGCGCGATCCTAACGATCCTCTGCTAACTAATAAACGAGATAGTGAACTGTTTCGTATCGATTATATCGAGGATATCGGTTCGAATCTTATGGAATCTGGTGCGCTCTTAGAGGCTGTATATAACTCGTATATACAACCGGATAATTAATGGAGCCGGTAATGAGCTGATTATTATTAATAATATTTAGTCGAGGTTAAGCCGAGGCGACCCCGCCGTGCTGGAGCCCGGCTGCTCGTTAATTGAATCTGCCAATCATCGTAATGAGCGTCAGCGCCGGATCTGCTGTCCGTTCTTCGTTGTTGCTCTTTGGGGCCTGAAAGCTTGATGCTCGTTGCTTTCGAAAAACGAAATACGCGTGTTGCACTCTGCAACCCTATCCTAAGAAATGTGAGCAATTTTCTTCACCGACCGCCTTTCGAGAACTTGATCGATATCGCGAACCCTGTCTAGAACCTTCTCGTGATTGTTGCTATTCGTTTACATTAATTACACCACGCGCGTCAACCAAACTTTTACTTTGGAATTCGAACGATCGTATTGTTTATAGATAAATAATCAAATAATCGCGAATCAATAGCGCGTTTTTCTTTTTTTCTTATTTCAACCTATTCTTATTTTATTTTCTTATTTCAATATCTTTCGAATATATAAAGCTTGCGTCCTTTTAAAAATTCTTTTCCTCTCTCTCTTTTTCCAGCGCCAAGAGTGAACCTATTTCTCGTCGAATGCAATACTCGAAAATGGAATTGTTAGTCACGGAACAGAAGTAAGTCCGACGATAAGTCGGACAAGGGACAAATGTTTCTCCTCTTTCGAAGATAACTTTGCCCCGATCTCTACACTCTTACGCTCCAACCAGAATCCTTCTAAGAATGCGTTCTTATCTCTCCAGTTTCGTCGTTCGAAACCAGGATTTCCGGCAAGGATTTTCGTAAAGTAGAAATGCCAATCCACGAAAAGATGAGTGTTCCATCTAGTTTCCTCTTCTGTTCCAATATCGCGCGTACAAGTAAAAGTAAGTTTTCGAAACTAAGTAGTAGTAGTAGTAGTAGTAGTAGTAGTAGTATCACGATAATCGTGATTTACGTAATAACACACGTTGTGGATAAAGAGAGAGAGAAAAATGAAGAGAAAGTAAAGGGAAACAAAAGAGGGGGGGAGAAAAAAAAAAAGGAGAATACACGATGGAAGCGGTTTCGCGAAAACTCGTTCCTGTCGACGCCCGCTGGTAATTTCGTTGTATAGGAATTAATAGATTAGCGAAGAGCACGTTTCCTCTTAATTCCAGCCCATTACGGGTTCGGTTTCTCGGCGTAAGGCGGGTCTGCTCGATTATGGAAGATAGCCAAAATCACCGGTGGATCGCGGAATTAGATCGAATTACCCAGACGCGAGATGATCGCCGTACAGTGTAATTTCTCGATAGAATGACGAGCAACTGCGTCATCGTAAGCCACTGGTCTCGCGTTTTTCACGCAAGCCAATTTTTATCCAATCTTTATTTTTCGTTGTCCCGGCTAATTTCTTCACTCGAAAAACCACGAGGAATATCCTCTTTCCGCCAACCAGATACCATTTCCTCTTGTTTCTTCTTCTTCCCTTTTTTTTCTCCCCTTGATTCCGCATAGATTTCAATTACAACGAAATTAGATGCGAATCGCGTTTCACGTGAATATATCGGCGGCACGACTCCGGCTACCGAATGACGGGAGAAATTAATCAAAATAATCATCTCTGGGGCCCGAAGCGGCCACCGGGGCCTGTCATTTACTCCCCTCGAACTCTTCTCCTCCTGCCTTAGGATACTCGATGTATATGTATATATATATATATATATGTAT